TCTCTCTCTCTCTCTCTCTCTCTCTTCTCTCTCTCTCTCTCTCTCTCTCTCTCTCTCTTCTCTCTCTCTCTCTCTCTCTCTCTCTCTCTCTCTCTCTCCCCATCTCCTCCCTGAATGGCACCAGGCCCCGGGCAAACAACCTGTTTTGCAGAATCTCATCTGAAATTGCCCAAGTACACGCAGGCTGCAGGCGTATTACCACATCCCCCTCGCATCTCGCTCGCTCACTTAGCGACTTAGCGTCGATCAGGCGGCTCATCTAAAGTCCATCTGGTCCGCCCTAATTCAAACATCGGCCACCAGATGACAGATTTGTTGGTCTATCTACTTCGTTATACGGGCGCGAAAACGCAATGTCGGGGCGAAAATCTCGTGAAAATACGACGAAGGCAACCTAATGCAGTTTCGGCCACCTGAAAAACTCGCGTCTGAATCAACACACTGCAGAGTGCTGACATCTGGCGAAGGCAAACACGACTAAATTCGACTGCCCGATGCACCCATCCGCACTTACAGAGCAATCGTCAGGCATTCCGAAATTCACAAGTTGAGCAGCAATACAAACACACACAGACACACACACGCAAAAATAGGAATCTCCTCTTCAGTTAGAGTGTACATGCCTAGTACACGCCAACTCCCGATCTATATACTGCTATATTCTGTTCGCACTAGACATTTCCCGCTCCCATTTGCATGTAATGCATGGGTTGGCACTCACTACCCGTTAGTTATTCCAGCTAACATCAGCCTTCAAACACCCGAAACCCGATGACGTCACTATCGACGCCCTTTCCGAACGCTTGTCAAATACTAATGTAAGTCAGTGTGGCGGGCGTTCCATCTAACTAGTTGCCAAGCTGTGCTGAGAAACTGTGTGCAAACCATACACGTTTCCTAGTCCAGCCCACCATGCAAGCGAATGTTTTTGAGATAAACACCACGCGAAAGGTTTGCCCGAACAAACACGCGAGAAGACGCAGTAAACAAAAGGCTATCGTCACAGGTTACCCCCGGCCCTCGTGACTAGATTAGGAGCATTAGATTACTTAGTTTACCGTCAGGCGGCTCTGCGCGCGATTAGCTGCTTATCGCAACATTAATTAGCTAACAAGTGTCATTTCTGAGCGGAAATGGCAATAATTTGCCAACGCTGTAGGCGAAAATAATGGATCAGTTATCAGATGCGTGCAGCATACGCGATATTAAACAACATTAGGGTTACAATGTTAGCTGGAACCTGAAATAGAAATTGTCATTAAACACATACAGCGTAGAAAAATGGCACGTCACTTAAAATTCCATTTTAAAATAATGAATTAAACTGCAAGGGGATGCATCAGCTCATATCAAATGTTGCATTAGTAGGTAGTATATGTACACAATATAAACACTTATGATGATCATATGTTTATTTCGTTAACAGCTTACTCAGCTCATATATATATAACCAAGAGCTAATAATATAAGAGGTATTATTAGCTCTTGATATAACAAGGATCATTTCAAACTTCCGATACATATATATGTATAAAATTATATTGAGCCTCGGCTCTAACTGAGATGAAAGTGGCGCTACCTACCACACTGTCGCTCCTGTCTGATGACGATGCTCTCTTGTTTGTTGCAGCTGGCGCGCCGCAGGTGGCAGGCGTTGATGTAGGTGACTCCGTCGCTGCCGCAGACGGGCGCGAACACGCTCGTGCACGTCTCCTCGCAGTCGCAGTACGCGCCGTCGGTGTCGTTCGCGTGACACGTGGCGCCGTACGCGCAGTACGTGATCTCACACGGCTCTGTGCGTGCGGAAGGCAAGAAGTCGTGAGTGTCGGAGACAACGACAATATTTGTTTGCACGTTTGTAAATGTAACCGTGTCATCAAAGCGGAATGAATCGGGGCGGGGGCGGTGGAAGACGGATTAATTTATGAAGTAGGCTGGAGAACTTTAGAAAGGAGGTTCGAAAAATTGAGGAGGCGGCTCTAGGCGTTAGAGAGGAGGCATGAAAATGGAGGCATGAGCCCCAGGGAAGAGAAATAGAAACTTACGAAGAAGACGCAAAAACCAAGGGAGCAGGCGGGAATACTTTGGGAGAAACGGAAACCCTAGGAGGAGGCAAACAAAAAACTTAGCGAGGAAACACTTGTTAATTCTCTTCCTTTGCGTTACACAATTTACACGATATTTTATTATACACGCTACACACGTCATTTAGCTTTATCTCGTCATCGCATATTTATTTACATGTTTTGTCTATGTAACCGTGTCAACAAAGCGGAATGAATTTAAGCTCCAATTTATTTATTAATTATTATTTAATTTTATTAATCTACAGGGAAATCGACACTACGTCAACGTTTTCGGTATAAATAAGAATTTCCAACATTTGCTTTCACTAACATTCATGAACCTATCGTCACAGTGAGTATAAATAAAAAGAAGACACGCGCGAAGCAGGCGCAGCGTTTATATATTCTGAGAACGTTCAGTAGCTAACCGTAGCAACACGGTCGGCATACGGTAGTCAGTAATAAATTGACAAATGAGGACAGAGTGAGATTAATCTATACAGCCAGCGAGAACAACTCAAACCGCTCGCGTGTGGCACGAACCTTGCGATGCGATTTATCGTGATAGCTCTGGTACGCAAATACATATGCACACACATATACACAGAGACGCACACACGCACGCACACACGCACACACACACACACACACACACACACACACGCACACGCACACGCACACGCACACGCACACGCACACGCACACGCACACGCACGCACGCACGCACGCACGCACACACACACACCCACACACAC